TACAAAGTAAAATTATATTCGACTACATTAGATGAATTGCGTTTGATATCCTTATATTAATGTTAATCTTTTATGGTCACTATTTTCTTTTTGAAAAGTAATTCTTCTGCGCTGCACGCACAAGTGCGATATTTTGCAGGAACTGGCACTAATGATTTCGATCAATCGAAACAAGCACCTGTGCATTATTTGGTTGAGAGGAACAACGTACTTATGGTCAGTGACTAAGAAAATTAACTTTGTTGTTCCTTGCCTAGCATTGTCTCTTAGGTTCGACAGTTAATGTGGTACGGTTCTGACATGTCATTACTGGAACAATCAGCTTCCAAAGTTCCATCTGAACTTTACAATGTCGATAATGCCGAAGTGTGTTGTTGTATCTAAAGATGAAGCCATAGAGGCTCACATTCCACAGTAATTTTTTTCAGGTTTGTACTTTCCTACAAGTGAGGATGAAGGCTCTTGAACGAGTCATGGCGTCATGGTTGCGAGCAATTTGTGCAGGTAGTTTGCGTACATTTGACGAAGAGCATCACAGTGGCATATTTTTGAGAGCAGATTGTTTACTAAGCACTCAATGAAATTTGTTGGAATAATGAGCGGGTCTTCTAGGGAAACTGCAGCTAGGGTGCGCCGCAAGTCTTCTACACTCGATGCGATTTCTGGAGAACAGTGGAAGGCTTGACGATGTGGGTCAACCAAAAACACAGGATATAGTAAGTATTTAGCCCTCTTGTATAATTTTTACCAGAGTACTTTACTTTTTTCCAGCGCAAAATCAAGTTGGCCTTGCGGAGAGATATTATTGAAGAGGCAAAAGGCGAAAGCGATCATTTGGTCCGTTGGTTGTTGTTTTTTTTTTGTTTACAAAATGATTGCCACTCTAGTCTCTATCTATCTGCACTGGTTCGACGACTATAAGAAAGAAATTTACAGACTATTTAGGTAGTATTCATGCTGCCCGTAGCTTTTACCCCTCAAGATGCGCTGATGCCCGCTGAATGTCCGCATATAGTAAGGAAGAAAATGTATGAAAAGTTTCCAACGTATCAGCTGCCATCTTTCT